TGAGGGAATTCCTCCAAGATGCACCTTGGCAGAGAGAAGTCGTGGCTGAGCTCATACAGGTACCATGGTTGTGGGCTGCTCACCCTGTGATGCGCTGGCACCCGTGGTGGGAGTGACCCCTTGTGTGTCCCACCCCACACAGGAGCAGGGGTCTCCCTCTGGTGCCCAGTGGCTGGGAACGACCCACAGAACGTCACCTACTGCAGCACAGAAAGTCAGCAGGGTTTAACAATGGGAAATACTGGAAGGGTCTTGTTGAAGCTATTCCTCTCTATTTCCAAAGGCTTTTGTCTGTTGCAACCTCAGTTGAGCATCCAGGAGGTACCTCCAGTGTTCTACCAGTCCTCTGGCCTTGGCACTGGAGACTTACACATCTGTAGGGTCCCAAGGAGATTTGTGGGTATTCTAAAGAGATTTGGCAAGGTCCAGTCCTAAATGAACATTCCAGACCTTTGGTTTCCCTTCTAGTCCTGGCAAAATGGAAAAAGCATATCAGGAAAACCAGCTTATTTGTCTGCTGGTCTGGTCCTGACCTGCTGCTGGGGCTGTGGCCTTGCTTTGCACCAGGGGCTCCCTGGCTCAGGGCTCCCTGGTCAGTGCTGTGCTCGAGGCCCCTCTCACCCCTCACGCCTGGCAGCCAGCTTGTAAAAGCTCTGGAGATGCTGCAGAGCCATGGAGGTGTACTGGGTGGAGGGGATGCAGTGTCCCCTCCGGCCCCCTGAGCCCCTCTGATCCCACTTTGTCTTTGTCTCTCCACAGATTTTGACAGAGCTGAAGTCAGACAACCAAAGGCTGAAGGATGAGAACGGAGCCCTCATTCGTGTCATCAGCAAACTCTCCAAATAGGAATCCAGAGCAAAGGAAGGACGAGGAGGGGTGTCCTACACCAGCTGCCAACCCCACCACCGAGCCCTACCCCCTTTTCTTCCCGTCTCGTACAGCAAGTGTTTCAGCTGTGGGATCAATGTCACACCTGCCTTGCCCTGCCGTTTGCTGTACATTCCCTTTCTACCCCTATTTCCCCTCAACACACCCCCTGCCATTTTATTTTTTACCTTATGCATGTTGTGGTATCTCGGACATTTTATTCAAGGGAGAAATGTGAGGACCGGGTTTGAGCTGCCAAAACTTCTTCCAAAAGCTCAGTATTTGGTTTTGGACTCTCACCTGGAGTGGGAAGCTCCTACTGCAAAAAGTGACATCTGAAGAACTAACCCAGCATATCCAAACCCTTTACAGGTGGGAAATGTGAACATGGGCTGGGACTCTGAGGATGCACATCAGCCCAGTGAGAGATGTGGGGCTCTGGTTAAACGTGATGCTGTGAAAGCCACCAGAGCTAACGTTTGTCACAGGCTGATGAGCTGTTTTGCACAGACACCTTCTCTTCTTGTCCCAGTAGACTAGGTATTCTATCTTAGATAAGATTTTGAACCTGTTCAGTAACATCAGTGCTGACACTCAGTGTCAGACCCTTATCCCTCATCCTTCCTTTCCCCCACAGCCTGGGTGATCCTGTGTCACATTGTGTCCTTCCAGGGCTCCTGTCTCTGTGCTTGGTAGCATCCAGTTGCCACCTGGACACTTGTTCCTTGGGACAGGATATATCCCAGGCACTTGCTGAGCTTTCTGAAGGACAAACTTGAACCCCTACAGACCCTCTGCTGCTCTAACCTGTGTGTGAGTGGGAATCACCTTGCGGGGAGCTGTGCCCATGCCAGAAACCAGCCTCCCCTTCCCAAAAGCCATCTGGGACATCAGAGCCCCATAGCAGAGCCTGGTCTGGTATTTCAGGTACCCTCCCTTTGATTAGCAGCAGGATTTGTAGACAGAGAATGGCAGCATCCTGTCCTACACACCTTGGAGAGGTCGGGGTGTGTCAGTGTCAGAGGGACAAGGCGCTGCTTGTAACTGAATCACCATTATGAAAGTCTGAAATTTGTGATCAGCTTTGACCTTGAAGGAAACCCCCAGATATACTCCTCTTAAATGTTACATGCACTCTAAACAGTTTGGAATTGTTCTCTCCCATGGGCATTTAGACATTGGCTCCTCTCTCCATGCTGTGGGACTGTTCATCAGGTCTGTTCAGCTTCCCGTTAACAGACTCCTCTCAAACAGTACCTTCCTTCTCAAGAGACATCCTGCTGTATCCAAAACATTCTCCCATCTACATCCTTCCATATTTGTCCTTTCATCCCCTTTGTCCTTCAACTCCCCAGGCTCTCTCTGGCTAAGGGCAGCAGTTCTTGGTCACTGAACCTGGAGGTGGCCATGGAGCAGCTGTACCATGTTCCTGAGCAGCTCTGCTGGCTCTTGCTGGGGGGACTCTCCACTACTAGAGAGATGAGATACTTGAACATGAGCAGAATACTTGAGCTTGCTCAGCAGGGTGAAACTTACCTCTATTGGGCAATCCTGGGCTCTTTCAAACCTTTTGCTGGTTATTGCCTCAGAAAGCATCTCTGTTTTCCTCTCTCTGGGGTTTTCTCTCTTTGGTTTTTTTCCTCCCTAATTCTCCATTTTCCCCCCTTCCCCTCCCTGTCCTTCCTGTTTCCACCTCTCTTGCTCTTCCTGAAGCTGCCAGTTCTCCCCAGGCAGCTCTGACCACACTTCAGCTGGTGGAGCCGTTTGTGCAGCTGAGGCACCGTTTCTCCTGGTACACTGAGGCCCTGCCTCTGCTGCTGAGCTTTGGGAGGAAGAGACCAAAGCTGGTAAAGGCATCAGGGTTTCTGCAGAGCACTGCCTAAGCCAGGCATCCTTTTTATATTCCTTGATTTGAACCCTGCTCTATTTAACAGCTTTAAGTCTTGAGATCCAGTCAGTGCTTCCCCTGCACGCCGTTCCCTCTTGGTGCACTCTTTCTGTGAGTACTTCTGCCGTTCTTGATGTTTTCTCTCTTGGTTCCCACTCCTCGCTCTGGTCAGGAGATCAGGGATCAGGAGCCCGGTCCTGTCTGTGCCACGTGGAGGAGTTGATGCTCCCCAGCTGGGCTGGCACCTCAGGCCACGCACCCCAGCAGGATGAGGAGGAGTTCAGAATCGAGATCCTGTTCTCACCGGCAGGTTCCTGGCAGCAGGAAGAAGCCTGGTGTCTGTTTTAGGGAGAGGGTTCAACCCAATCTGACAAATCCATCCCGCACTGATGTTTTGCCCCTGTTTTTGTTACCAGGACACTCACTGCGCTTTTTCCCAAGGAGCAGAGTGCAAAGGCTGTGGGAGGCTCGTTCCTCTGAGTGGCCCCTTGCAAAGCCAAACCACTTTAGATGAAGTATCTGCTTAGCACTGGATTCTCTCGAGCCCTGGGCCCCCACAGCTCAGTGTCCCTGATCAGCCAAAGCTGTGAGCGTCTCATGGTGACAGCACAACTGCAAATCAAATTCTTGAGAATGGATTTTTTTTGTCTCACTTCATGCCTGACAGAACCAGTGCACTGAGGAGGTGACAAACAGAACACCTCAAACCCTGTGCTTGGCAATAGGTTTTAAAATTGATCCCTCTTGGAACCAGAGCATTTGCCAGACATGGTCTCCCTTGGGGAACATGAGCTTTTTTTTCTAAGCAATTGCTTGGGGTGAGTTAATTTTTATTGCTTGGGGTGAACCCACCTGTTGTGGCTGCAAGTTTGGTGATGGCTCTTTGTAAATAAACTCCTTGGAGAAGCAGGACTGGCGGACGAGATGGGGAGAGAATGTATTTTTATGCAACTTTTGAGTGGCCTTTCAAACCCTGAGATGAATGATTTGTTTTACTGGTTGTTGTTATATAGTATTATAAGTATTATGTGTTTGAAAGTTTGGGAATAATATTCACAGCTATGATGCTTGTAAACACAACAGTATTTATAAATGAATAAAGTAAGAATTAATAAAATAGAAGCTTTGACTTTGCTTCCATCTTTCTGGAATTGCAAGTTGTTTGTGCTAAAATTCCCTGTTTCTCCCACAGTTCTCATGGCATAACAATATCCATCATCCATAAAAACACAAGCATTTTACAGCTACAGTACAGGTGCCTTTTCAGGGGAAGCTGAAATAAAGGAACTGGGATGCACATCCCTGAAAAGCACCCACCAGTGGGAAGATAAAACAGGAGAGGGTCCCATCTCCTCCTTGGCACCACATTGGGGATCAGGCCCACTTCCCACTCTGGTGGCAAGCCTTGTTTTAGCTCTGCTCAGAAGTTTGGTAAACACAGAGTGTGGCACAGGCAGGAGGTGGTGCCACATCTGGGAACCTCTGTCTCAGATGAGGCTGCTGGAACCTCCACATGTTCAGTCTTCAGAGGTGGTTGGTGCGGGTTAAAATCTTCCCTTTGGGTTGGGGGTGTCCAGCAACCCTGTGGGGCAGAATGTGACTGTGGACCAGACTCGGTGTGCCGGGGGCAAAGAATTCTGTGGGGACCTTTGGTATTTCCCATGTCTGGTTCAGCCTTGCTCAACTGGGGTTCAAGGCTGCCCAGAGCACAAATCAGAGGGAGCTGGAGGGCTCAGCCTGGAGAAAAGGAGGCTCAGGGGACCTTCTGGCTCTGCACATCTCCCTGACAGGAGGGGACAGCCGGGGGATGTCGGGCTCTGCTCCCTGGGAACAGGGACAGGGCAAGATGAAATAGGAAATGGCCTCAAGTTGTGCCAGGGGAGGTTCAGGTTGGATAATGGGGAGAAGTTCTTCCCTGAAAAGGTTGTCAGGCAGTTGCACAGCTGCCCAGGGCAGCGGCAAAGTCACCACCTCTGGAAGTGTTCAAATGGTGTGTGAATGTGACACTTGGGACATGGTTTAGTGGTAAACTTGGCAGTGCTGGCTGAACAGTTGAACTCCATGATCTTAGAGGGCCTTTCCAACCTAAGTGATTTCCTGATTCCGTGTTTTGGGGGACCCGGGCCCTTGTGGGGTTCCACCCGCACCTCCATCCCTCCATCATCCCTGGGCTCACTGCCCTGGCTCTTGCCCCTCACCGCGGATGCTCCATAAGGCCCAGCAGCAAGACCAGAAGGGAACCAGCTCCTTTCAGCTCATTTCTTTAATAAGGAGACGTAAATAATTACAAAATAACCATCAAACGATCAGAGACGGAACGACAGAGTCCACACGAAGGGAAGGGGCATTAAAAGCAGCTTCCGCCGGAGCCGAGCGCTGCGGGGCTGGGACGGGGCCGGCACTGCGGGACCAAGGACGGCCGAGCCTGCGACTCCCGAAGGAGCTGGCTCCTTCCTCCCGGATCGGGAGAAAAAAGGAAAAGGAACCCAAGCAGGTTGCCAAGACTCGTGGATTCACTTCCTTTTTTAACCCCGGGAGCATCTCCGTGGCACAGCTGGGTTTGCTCTGCGGTGCCGCCAGGAGAGGGAAGTGCCAGCTCTCGTCCCCAAAACAGAGACCACCGACTGGACATGGCAGAAATAATCCAAATTGCTCCAAAAAGCCTTTTCACCACCAGCAGGTCGTCCCCAACATGTGCCCAGCGTTGTCCCGTCTCCTCGCCCGGCGTGCCAGCGGCACCCAAGGCCGCGGCAGCTCCGGCAGCCTGAGCCCCACGGAACCGGGGGGACGCGGACACATGGGGGGAAGGGGGTCACGGCTCACCGTGGGCCTGTCCCCGTGGGGTCCCGGTGCACCGTGCTCTAATATGGCTTCTAAAGTTGCTCTGATGGTGAAATGCACCAACGCGACACAGGACACCGAAGCCACGATGTTGCTGCTACCCGGCCATGGGACAAACGCGACAGATACGGGAACACGACACATGGACTGCGGCCGTGACAGCTCACTCTCCGCTGGCGGGTCGGGCTTGGCATGCTTTGCTTCTTGGCATTATTTTCTTCTTTTATAGTATTTAATTGGGGATTTTAATTTTATTTGGGGGGGAGGGGGGAAATCAGGGCGGTGGAGAGCTCTCGAGCGATGGGTTTTGGAGTCGCCGCCTCCTCCCTGGCGGGAGGCCGAGATGGGGACGGCAGTGCCGGGGCCATGCTGCTGCTGCTGCTGTTACATGCACTGCTCGTGGTATATACAGCTATGTCTCCATATAATTTACCTACACACAGCTAAGGGGCGGGTCAGAGGCAGCGCAGATGGCTTCAGGATGTTGGTTGGTTTTCCCTTTTTTATTAAAAAAAAATTAAATCATGTATTAAAGTCACAGTCTTCCCCCTCCCCCAAGGCTTAAAGAGTCTGAATGGAAAGCAGCCAGGTGGGATCGCCGCTCCTGGCCTGGATCCCCAGACCCCGGCTGATGCAGTGGGCCTGGGGGCGGAGGGGCGGAGGGCAGCGCACAGGAGGGGGTGCATCTTGCATCTGGCGTGTGCAGGTGTGCAGATGTAATGTGCAGGTGTGCAGGTGTACAGGTGTGATGTGCAGGTGTGCAGGTGTACACACCTCCACCTGCTTCCCTGGGAAGGCTGTGGGGCCATGCACACTTGCTGGCTGCAAACGTAGGATTTCAGTGCTTCTTATAATTCCTCCTCTTTTAGCCCATTCCATGTAAGGCAACCCCCCCAATGCCTGGATGGACCCCAAAATGAGAGTGAGTCCTACCAGTGCTCCTGACCATGGGGCATCGGCCCCCCTCCAGCTCCCCATTATTAAAAGCATCTAAAGACTTCTTCTCCCTTTGGCTCCAGGGCAGGGCAGGACCCCATCTGTTGACAATGACACATCCATTAGGAAAAGGGACTAATTAAAGCTGGAGATGGCCCTGAGAGACCACTGGCTGGATGACCCTTGCAAACCCAGCATGGCCCCAGTGCTACCTTCACCAGGGCATGGGCCAAGTGCAGCTGCAGTGGTGGTGGAGGTGGTCATTAGAGGTGCCTGTCCAACATCCCCTTCCTACACTGCAGCTCAGCCATCCAAGCCCCAAACCTCCCACGGAGATGTCCTGCCCTGGGGACCTGTCCCAGAGCTGCACAACCCTCCAGAGACAATCCCCATGTCCATTTGAACCCCCTGAGCCAAGTTTCAAACCTGGTGACTGCCACCAAGTTTCCCATCGTCTCCCCACCTCTGGAGAGGGCCAGGATGCTCTTTGGGAAGTCAGAGCTGGGGGAGCTGCTAAAGCATCCAACAGCACTGGGATGAGCTTGATTTTGGCACTGTGTCCCTGGACCCGGGACACCCTGCACCACGGTCCCAGCCCAGGTGTTGAACCCCCAGAGCAGCATCCCCAGTGCCAGCACATCTTTGGGGCTTGTCCCTTCACTGCTGCGGTGCCAGAACGCCCAGCACTGAGTCCCGGGAAGCCAAAGGGAGCAGAGTGTGAGGCTGTTGTGGAGCTGGAGCAGGGACAGGCACATGAGCTAACATCAGTGCTCCACTACAGACGGGGCAGGGCTGCTGGACCCTCTCCCAGCTGCAGAGAACTGTGTTGGCTTCCTGGCTCAGAGGCTTTTCTGGGACAGTGGCAGAAGTAGCCTAGAGAAGCTCTTAGCCACTGTCAGGGTCATGGATATGGCTTATACCCCCGAGGGGAGCAGGACAGGGTAGGTTTAACAGCCAGTGGCCTGGTGGGGAGTAGCAGCTCATGGGGGTCGGGGGCTTTGGTCCCTTGTTGGCCCCAGGCTTTCTCTTGCCATCTCCACCCACAGCAGGTGGTGGGGCTGGAGCTCCCCATGGCCCCCCAGCTGCCCTGAGGCTGAGGTGGCCACAGCGATGACAGGACATGCGATGGACGGTCTCTGGGGACACACCTGGATCTGGAGACCCCTCATTGTAAACCTGCCTTGTGGAAGCATTTTGATCTTTGGGATTCACCAAGCATGGTGGGACACAGATGCAAATCACCCAGCGCTGCCCCTCTGGGGACAAAACAGAGGTTGTGGTGCTGGTGGTGGTGGCGATCCACACAGTGCTGCTGGTGCATCCACATTTCACCCTGTGTCTCCCTGGAACAGCCCTCCTGAAGATCTCTGTGCCCAGACTGGCCTCCACAGCTCCTGCTGCAACACTGAGGGCTTGGCACCCCACCACCACAGCAGGATCCATGGCCCCTGCAAGCCTCTTCTCAGAGAATCCAAACCTGGAGCTGTCCAGGGGCAGACCCCTGGGTCTCTTCAGAGGGTCTTCTGCACCGTTTTTCTGTCTCACTGCTGGTCATGCCCCAACCAAGTACAGTGGGTCTGGTCATCTCGCACCACCAGGCTCCAGTACCACCTCCATGCAACATTCCATGGCTCCCCACGTGATCCCAAGGGCAGGATGGTGTCAGCAATGCTGCAGGCTGGTGACACAGCTGCTGGGCAAGGTCCCAGCTGTGCCGTGGCTTTGCTCTGGGAAGAGATGGCGAGCAGAGGCAATGGGACATGCAGCAGAAGGGAGCGATGCTGAAGAACAAAAAGAACCATCCATGTCTTTAACCTCTTCCCCTGGAAGCTATTGGGACTGCCTGGATACCCTTCCAGAGGCATCGAAGCGCATTTCAGCTTAAAAGAGAACAAAAACGAAAAGGGAGGTTGCAGAACTGAGGTATCAGTAGCTCTGGCTCAACTGTCCGCGGTGCCGCGCCGGCTGGCAGAGCTGCCTATTTGTTCTTCCCGAGAGCTGCATCTACTTCTTCCTCTGGCTTCAGCGAGTGCCACTGGGCGATGGGCCGCCGGGGGTTGGCCAGCATGTCGGACCAGTGCCGCAGCTCCGTGCCGGTGGAGTTCAAGCCCGTGAAGATCTTGCCGATGGCTTCGTTCTTCCCCAGCTTGTCATAGTCCAGCACTGTGATGACCACTTGCACTTTCTAAAGGAGGAAACCTTTTTTTAGAGGGGTGGAAAGGTGCAGTGGCCATGACAGCTGCATAGCCCCAGGGTGCCCCAGGGATCCCCCAAGGATGAGCACCACTGTGGCCCATTTTGGGGCAGGGTCTCCTCCCTGCTTCCTTCATGTCCTTCCCCAAGGAGCACAGAGCGCAGTGGAAGCCCAGCTCATCCTGAGCTGATTCACCTGGGAAAGGTCACCAAGGTGTGGTGTGGGGCTGGGCAAGAGCTGTGGGCTACTGGGCAGGGCAAGGGGCACGGGCAGGGACTTGCACAGGACATGGAGGGGCAGAAGCAGTGGCCAAAAGTCCGAAATGCTCCCAGGACCACCCTGTTATGCTTCGAGTGAGCACTGCAGAACAGAGGAAAGCCCTCTTTCAGCTGTGATCTGAGCTGAGGTTCATCTCCCATGGGCGCTGCCCAGCCTCCCACCTCTGCCCCCACACCAGCTGCCCTCAGCACCAGCCCAGGCCCCAGATGAGACTGGAAAAGTCTCCTGGGTGACCAGACCAGGAGCTCAGCAGGAGCAGCTCAGGCTGCTGGGAGGGCTGGGACAAGGGCTCAGGCAACTTTAGGGGACTCCCCCATCCCAGGGGAGTCATCAGACAAACCTGTATCTGCTCAAAGGGGATCTCAAAGCTGAAGGACTCATTGAAGTAGGGGTTCAGGGTCTTCTTCTTGACTGTGGTCTTCTTCTTCTTCAACCTCTTGCCATTCTGCAGCAGGTGGATCTTCACGTAGGGATCTGGGGGTCAGGATGAGGCATTAGCCAGGGCTGAGGAGCCCTGGGGATGCCACTGGGGATACCCCTGGGATACCTCCTGGTCCCAGGAGACATCTCACCCAGAGTGAGGGAGAGACTGCCCTGAGTAAAGATGGTCTGAGGTTTGTGGATGAATGCCAAAGACAAAATGATTAGGCTGGAAAAGTTTTGTGGGAGCAACTGGCCAAGGGATGGAGCTCTTCTGCATTCAGCAGAACTGGGGAAGGGTATGGAGAGTCAGACATATGAGGTGAGGCTGAAGGAGCTGGGGAGCTCAACCTGGAGAAAAGGAGGCTTGGGGGGACCTTCTGGCTTTGCACAACTCCCTGACAGGAGAGGGCAGCCAGGGGAGGTCAGGTTCTGCTCCCACGGAACAAGGGAGAGGAAAAGAGGAAATGGCCTCAAGTTGTGCCAGAGGAGGTTCAGGTTGGACATCAGGAAGAATTTGTTTATGGAAAGGGTGGTCAGGCATTGGAACTGCCCAGAGAATTGGTGGAGTCCCCATCCTTGGAGCTGTCCAAGCAACGCCTGGACATGGCACTGAGTGCTCTGGTCTGGGTGACAAGGGGGGATCAGGCACAGAACTTGATGATCCTGGAGGTCTTTTCCAACAGTAATGATTCTGGGATTCTATGCTGTGAGCCCCCTTGTAGGAAGGCAGGGGACAATAGAGTGACACCCGGCCTGTCAGGTGAGTGACGTTGGGTGGGTTCTGGCCTGACCCCTGTTTCTGGAGCAGGAAAGCCCACAACAAAGCTGAATTCTTCCAGCCCTGCAGGTACTGCTCTTGTCTTGGCTAAAGCATGTCTGGAGAGACCTGAGGACCCTGGGCACAGAGCTCAGCCCCAGGATGGGGCTGGGACGACATATTAAGCACAAAACATGCTGTCGACTGAGGTCACCGGCCCCCAGCTCAAGGAAGAGTAGGACCAGGAGCAAATGGTGGAGGAGCACTTTCAACACCCAGGTCCTGGAGGACCTCCCAGCATTCTGCAGGACCAAACTTGAAGTGTCCTTCCCAAGAGTCGGGGATGCATCCCATGGCCATCTCCCCTCACCCCCCAGCCAGACCTGGGGCTCCAAGGCATGAGGAAGCACTGGAGGTTTTCCCAAGCTCTGCCAGACAGGTGACCCCAGAGTCCTTTCCCACAGAGGATGCTGAGAGCCCCCAGCATGGCAGGGGGAGGCTGCCTCTGAGCAACACCCACCTGAGAGGCCCCCAACATCCATCTTCTTCAGGTTCTTGGCTTCCAGGATGCAGACAGTGAGCTTCCCAGCCGTGGGCACGTACCGGAGGGAGATGCAGATATCTCCCAGCTTCTCTGGCTGCCAAGCAGAGCAAGAAGGGAAGATCAAAGCCTTGCCAGTGCCTGGGACTCCAGTGTTTGGACATGATCACACATGCAGGTCCACCAAACCCTGCTCAGTCCAGGCACAAGCTGGCACCCTGTGCACCAACACAAGAATTTGATCATTGAGTCCAGGACAAGCTAGACCCAGTACAGCGCTCAAGATGTTTTATAGCCTTGATTTTTTTGTTATAGAAACATTTTCACATAAGGGAGCAACAGGTCAGACCCCAGTAATGACTGCCAGGATGTTCATGGTCCCCTGGTGGGACCCCACAGTGATCGTGACCCCAAACACTGTGGGATGGCCCTGAAGGCAGAGCTCACCCCATGGCAGCCCCCAGCTCAGTCCCCCGGGCAGGGGTTCCATGGCTCTGGGCTGGCTCTCACCTCTTCCTTCTCGCCACTCTGCAGGTCCCGCCACTCCTCGATGGGCTGGCCCAGGTCCACTGTGTTCATGGGCACCTTCACCTCTCCGATGATGTCGTGCTTGGAGAAGCGATCGAAGTCGTAGATGGCCATCACCAGCGTCTTCCCACCCAGCTCCTGGTAGGGCACCTGCACAAAGGGACAACAGCTGGGCCCAAGGGGGACCCCGAGCCAGGACCACCTTCTCCTGGAAGAGAAAGTCAGCACACAGGACTGCTACAGCCAGGGGGAAGGGGCTCACCTTGAAGGTGAAGGTCTCATTGAAGGCAGGGTTGAGTGTCTTCTTCTGCACTTTGGTCTCATACTTTTTCTTCTTGTCAGGGAGCAGAAACACCTTGACATATGGGTCTGAGGTGCCACCCATGTCCAAAGCTGGCAGTTCAGCAGCTTGGAGGATCCCCACTGTCAGCTGGAAGGGCAGAGGAGTCCTCAGTGAGACAGCCCAGCCATGCCCTGCAGCTGCCAAGGGCTCATCTCCAGTCCAACTTGGGACAGGACTTCTACGACCCAGCACCCACCCAGCTCCTCCTTCCCTCATGTGCCTCCCAGGTCCAGCACAGAGACCTGTCCTCCTCTCAACTCCCTCGCCGGGCAAACCCCACTCCTCAGCTGTGCCCCAGCCCCTCCATCACCTGGTTTGCCTGGAAATCATAGTCCAGCGAGAACTGCAGCTTGCCCAGGTTCTCCGGCTCCTTCTCCTCTTCCTCACCTTCCCCCTCTGTCAGACCCGTCTCTGCATCATCGTCGTCCTGTCAGTCCTGGAGTGGCAGCCACAGTGTCCAGCTCAGCAGAATGGTCACAGCCCAGCAGCCCCAGCCCCACAGCTCTGGGGACCTCAGCACCCCAACCCTCCTGGTGTCCCAACACCCAGGTTCTCCCCACCAGGGAAAGGAGACACGTGTGCTGGGGACATGAAGCACTGACAGAGCAGTGGGGGTGGCACTGGCTGTGCCACAGCCACGCAGCTCCTGGGGAGACCCAAAGTGACAGGGGGCCTGCCAAGGCTGCCAGGACAAGGGATTGACTCCAGTGGAGGGAGGTTTGGTGCTTGCAGGTCCTGTGCCCCCAGCTCATGCTTGGAGGAGCACTACAGGCAGAGTAAGGGCTTACCAGGGCCATTGCCAGGCTTTGTAGGCTCACAAATAGATTGTCCCAAGGAAATCTACCCCTCTTCCTGCCTCTCCAAGCACACTCCCTCGGTGGGAGTCCCAGCTCCTTGTTCCCTCTTTGATGTGTCCCCAGTCCCCCACCCCACGCAGGAAGCAGATGATGGAGAAGGAGGTGACACTTACGTGGAGAGTGTCCCCGAGCAGAGAGGCAGCCAGGGCAGGACAGCGAGGGCACCATGGGCAAAGAGACACACGTTACACAGACACCGAGGGACCGTGGCGGGGGGGGCATCAGGGCTTGTACCACCTGTGGAGCCCGAGGAGGCAGCCCTTGCTCTCCACTGGGGAATCCCACCCCACGCCTCTCCCCTCTCCTGCTCCAGACCTGTCTGCATCCCCATGGTGCCCGCATGGCTCTGAAGAGCAGGAACAGATACTCAGATTCTCCCACCCCCTGCAAATGGTCATGGGTCAAGGCCATGAAATGGCTGGGGTGGCCACAAGCCTCTGGGTACCAAAGCCTGCCTTGGGTTGGCCACCAGGATGATTTACCAGCACCTGTCACTTCACCACTAATGTTTTGGGATCCCAAACTGGCCAGTGTTTTGGCCTGGTGGCCCTCCTGTCTCAGCTCAGAGAAGTGCGTCTGACCCAGAGGGAGGTAGGAGACACGAGGGATTAAATCGACATCTCCTGTCTCAGGTGAAGCACTGGCAGGTCCTGGCCAGCTTGAGCCTGCTCCATCTGGGCCACCAGACACTGGAAGAGGACAGTGCTGCTGTCTCAGGTCCTGCCTCCACCGTCCCATCCCGGGGTCTGGGTGGCTCCCTCCCAACCTGCAGCCTGATCTTTGAGTGCCCTGACGCAGTCTGTAACTCATCCAGAGAGGCTGTTGGCCAAGCAGCCCAAGAGGACATCACCTGGTTGCCTGACTTCATGTCCTTCATGTTCATGGCATTCTTCATGCCTTTGCCCTTCTCCTTCTTGTTCTTCTTCTTCTTGCAGCAGCACTTCTTGCAGATGCAGAAGCAGCAGGTGAGGATGAGGAGTCCAGCCACAACTGCGATGGCGATGAGGGCCCAGGGTGGCACTGTGGGCAAAAGCCAAGGTCGTGGTCAGCCCAGTAGCTCCCTCCCAGCCACCCAAAAACCTTGTTCCACAGGTTGTACTGGGACAGGGCAGTGGGGAGGTCATCGGGAGGGTAACACCTGGGAAAGGAGCTACTCACAGGGAATCTTGTTGAGCTCGTTCATGAACTTGTCCCTCAGCTTGGTGAACATGTCCTCCTTGCTCTCACCCGGCCCCGCAGCCTCGGTGGAGTTCTCCATGGTGCTCATGGGCAGCGTGCTGGCTGTGGCCTCTGGGGCCATCATGGACGCTTGCTTGAACGTCATGGTGGGTCAGGGGCTCCCTGGAACACATCACCTCACTGGTCACACAGGTCCCTGCTGCCCCCACTCTGCCCCAGTGTCCCCAGGACAGTGCCCGTGTGGGCAGCAGGGCTGCACCAGGACACCTCATCTTCTGCTAGAGGGGCACAGACCCAGTGTCTGTGAGAGGTCACCTGGATCCCTCACAAGCCGTGGGAAGCCCAGCTGGCCCCTGGGTTTCCTGGTCCTTGACCTCTCCAAAGCCACTGCGAGCATCACCCAGCCTTGCATCAATGATGGTGCCAGCTCCGAGCCTCCTGGGGACAGTGGGGACACTCCTGGCAGGATGTTCACCTGGCAAGGCCCCTGGCATGAGGGAAGGGGGTTTGCATCCCCAGGAGAGAAAAATGAGGTTAGCTGGGACAAATCCAGCCCTGCCATCTCCTCCTTGTCTCAGGCAGGGACCCCGGGCACGGGGCACTCACAGGGACCCAGCGCTGGTGTGGCACCCCAGGACTTGCTCGCAGCCCCAGGGCGGCTTCCAGGTCTGGGAACAGCAGTAACACACTGCTCTTCTTCCAGCCCCCAGGGAGCTTTGGCAGGGCCCATTTTGAGGATGGATGGAAGCAGGGAAGAACTGGCTCTGCACAGCAGGGGTGGGTTCAGTATGCAGGTCAGTGGGTCAACTCATAAGGCACAGGCGCCATGTCCTGGGTGCCACACCTCCCAACCCCACAGGGCTCCCCTGGCCAGCTCTGCTCCTCCCTGGAGGAGGGAAGGTGTTCAGGTCACACAGCCAGGGCTGCAAAACAGCCCAACACGCTCAGCACCCCCTCCCCAGCCCAGCTGGGTCTGAGCACCCGCCTAGGATGGGGACAGCCATCATCTTGCGAATGTGGCTTTGACTCCTGCAGGCAAACCTGGTACCAAGTATCCCCATAACCCCAGCTCCAGCCCCAAAGTGCCTCCACAACCCCATCAGAAAGCAGCTTGCAAGAGAAGATCAGAGCAGAGAAGAATGCCAGGGAATGCACAGTGCCCATGGGGTGAAGGAGAACACCATGCTCCCCAGCAGGGGAAGCAGAGACGAGCAGGATCACAGATACCCCAGGAAGGAGTTTCTGGGGGCAGGTGAGCTGTGGCTTGAGTGCACCCCCTTCCTTGTATCTCTTCTTTCCTCCTCACCCTCAAGAAGCCTCTTAGCCAGAGCACTGTCCCCTGGGGCCAGGTGCTCCTCTGCCTTTTCTGCAGAACTCAGAAATGAGTGCTCTCACCTCAAAAAATGCAGCCAGAGAGACATGGGGGTGTTGTTGCCCCAGACTGACACTGCCATGTGTCTCCGGCCACCTCCCAGGTGAATAATCAAGCACTGAGTTACCCAGAGTGTGGCTGCACACCTGGACACCTTCCTCCTGCACCACTGCTCCCGGGGGAATGTGGTGGGGGGGTCTAGGGAGACCCCCATGAGGCAGAGGCAGTCCTCCACACAACAAAACGTGATTATATGGCTCCCACCTCGACAAGGCCCCTGCTGCAAGCTTTGCCACCCAATGTCTTGGCCACAGTGAGCTTCCCACCCCCCCAAGGGGCTGTCACAGGCCAAATGCCATCACCTAGCCCTGAAAGCTGCCACTGGGGTCTGGAGCACGATGCTTGTGGTCCCCCACAACCCCCACATCCTTCTTGGGATGAACCAGGAGCTGCTGCATTAAACCCCTACCCAGCTGAGGGTTATTTGATCTTAAGGGCCTCAAAGGTTCCCCAAAGCTTCCAGGAGCTGAGGAGACATGGATATGTGTCTGGGTCTGCCCCCGGCAGTTGAGGGGGTTGTCCCCATCACTACCCATGTGCACGAGGGTGGGTAGGAGGAGAGCCAGGATTTGGAAACCAGAGGGGGTAACCTCCGAGTGCTGGATCCCACCCCTCGGTTTGGGGCAGGGGTTCGGGCTCTGCCCTGCACCCACGGACAAAGGGTGTGGGTCCAGGCCACTGACATCCTCTAAGCTCCCCAGGAAACGGGAGGTGGAGGAGCCCAGGGCTGCACCCCAGCACAGCACACCCCAAGGCACCCGTGTGCACCCTGGAGGTGCAAGAGTGTCCAGGACATGCAAATGTGTGAGGGTGTAAACGCTTGTGCAAGGTGCGTGCAGAGGGCATGAACGTGTGTGTGTGTGTGTGTGTGTGTGTGTGTGTGTGTGTCTGTGTGTCTGTGTGTCTGTGTGTCTGTGTGTCTGTGTGTGTGTGTAAACGTGCACAGGGCATGTACAGGCTCATGCATGGTGTGTGTGTGTGTGTGTGTGTCTGTGTGTGCATGTGCATGTGTGTGTGTGTGTGTGTGTGTAAACGTGCACAGGGCATGTAAAGGCTCATGCACGGCCTGTGTGTGTGTGTGTGTGTGTCTGTGTGTGTGTGTCTGTGTGTGTAAACATGCACAGGGCATGTAAAGGCTCATGCACGGGGTGTGTGTGTGTGTGTGTGTGTGTCTGTGTCTGTGTCTGTGTCTGTGTGTCTGTGTGTGTAAACATGCACAGGGCATGTAAAGGCTCATGCACGGGGTGGGTGTGTGTGTGTGTCTGTGTCTGTGTGTAAACGTGCACAGGGCATGTAAAGGCTCATGCACGGCGTGTGTGTGTGTCTGTGTCTGTGTGTCTGTGTGTGTGTGTCTGTGTGTCTGTGTGTCTGTGTGTCTGTGTCTGTGTGTGTGTGTGTGTGTGTGTGTGTGTGTGTAAACGTGCACAGGGCATGTACAGGCTCATGCACAGCGTGTGTGTGTGCACGCTCGTGCCCGGGTCCGTGCACACCTGCCCGGGCTGTGTGAGCCGTGTGGCTCTGCCAGCACCCAGCCGTGGGTGTGCATGTGCCCAGCCGTGCCAGGCCGTGCCAGGCTCGCACTCACCCGCACAGCCCGTGCCAGGAGCGGGGTGCCAGGGGGACTGTGGGGCGGAGATGCAGCACAGACACTTGGCCAGGGAACAGCTGCTGGGGGCTCTGTGGGGCTGGGGGGCTGCAGGCAGCATCGGGCCTCGCTGGAGGGGTTGCTTTTGAACCGGGCGTCCTAATTAGCATCACTAATTGCTCGCTCCCTTGTGGTGCTCACCGGGCGCTGGCAGAGCTGCGGCGCACAGGGGAAACTGAGGCCCGGGAGGTGCCTCGGGGAGCCAATCTATGGAGACCCTGTTGCTGCTCCCCCTCCAGCTGAGCACCTACAGCCCCTGCCATGGAGATGGGGGGCTGATCCTGCCCCCCAAGCGAGGGGACCAGGCTTTGATCTGCCTCCCTCGTGGGCAGTGCCGTGGGGCAGCCGGGGAGGGATGGGAGGCTGGGAGGGCAGGGAGCGGGGCAGTGTGTGGGGCAGGGACAGAAGCACTGGGGCAGTGTGATCCTGGGGATGTCCCCTCAGCTCCAGGTGCCAGTCCCCACTGTGCCAGCGCCTCACTGGGTGTCCTCGGGCAAATCCATCCCGTGTCCGCAGCAGGCACAGGCGGGCAGCCCAAGCCCTCAGCTGTGGGGGCAGAGCTGCTCCCACCCCGGGGCGCAGATCCTCAGCGGTGGGGCCCGTCCCAGCCCCGGACCCAGTGCCAGCCCCGGACCCAGTGCCAGCCCCGGACCCAGTGCCAGCCCCTTCCCCGGCAGCGGGCGGGGGCCGTGCGGGCACGGCTGCGGCACTGCATTGCAGTCCTGCTCCGGCTCCGCTGCCTGCTTGGGTTTTTTTTTTTTCTTTTTCTTTTTTTTTTCTCATTCCTTTTGCAATTTTTCCCCTCCTCTTTGCAAGTTGCGGCAGCCGCTGGCGAGGAGCCGAGCGGCCGGCGGTGCGGGTGGGAAGGGAGCTCGACCCCCCGAAATCCTCCCCGCACCCCCAAACCCTGCCGGGCTGCCCCTGCCGAGGACTCGCTGCCATTCTGCAACTTTCCTCTTTATTCCTGGTTTTGAGTTTTTCCCCGCCAACCCCCACTGCTCCCGCCCCCCCCCGAGCCAAGATCGCAGGTTAGGGACATAAAAAATAGGGGGGTTATAATTAACCATTTCTATCTGTCCGTGGCTGAAGAACAAGCGTGGGTTAAGGCATCATGAATAAATACTGGCTAGGAAGGGACCCCTTGCTGCCTTGCCGGTCCCTGGGGATCCCCCAGCCCTCCGTGGGGTGCAGCACCCATCAGGGGAGGTTGATGGGAATGGTAGGACCACTGCACCCCTCCCCTCACAACAAAACCCCACCAGGAGCTCCCCATGGAGCAGGACAGGCTTCAGCTCAGCAGCTGCTGCAGAGACCCCACAGGGGCAGAGGGTGGGGAGGGTGGCACATCATCCATGCACCTCCATTACACTGCCCCTGCTGTGTGGGGTCCTCACAGCCCCCCAGCTGCCACCTCTGCCCCCACAGGACTTTGTCTTGCTCCGTGTTGCTCCAGCCCCCCAGGGTGTAACCCTGAACCCCACCAAACCCATCACCCTCACAGTGCATTTCTCCCCTAATGCACCCCCTGCAGCCCCCAATGCCTCATCCTGCACCCCTCAGTGCAGCACTCCAAACCCACTACTGCAGCACTCCCACCCACAGAGGACATCCCATATCCTGTGCCAGCAGCAGCTTCCCACACCCCCTAACCTATCTCACCAGCCCCACTGCATGCATGCACCTCCGTGCTGCACCACCCTCAGAGCCCCTAAAGCCCTTCTGCACCCCACACTGTTACCGTGTATCCCCCCAGGCCGTGTCCCCCAGCTGCAAACATCTGGCCTAGGAGTCCCCAGGGGCTGTATCCAGCGAACTCACTCCAGGCTCAGCCCCCAAAGTCGCCCCAGGTGTCCATCCCCCCTCCCCCAGTAAAGCTGATCCTGAACCCCGAGAAGCTGCACTGAGCTCCAAGGCAGCCCTTCCTGGTGTAAACCTCCCTGGCTCCATCGCTGATTTTGGGGAGCAGAGGGGGTGGGGGTGTCCCCCTCCTTTTCACACATTCCATTTGCTGCATTCCGTTTGCCGGCACCACCCCAAGGTCTGCGGGATGTAAATCCCAGGCTGGAGCCAACGATCCCATCCCCA